TGCTGCAGCTATAGCCTAGCTTTGATCAACAATGAACTTGCTATCATGGAATCCTATATCTTTTCTGTTTACTTTTATATGGTGAGTTTGGTGGCCATGACATGCCTTTTTCTTTCTTGATGCTGTTGGCAGAAACATGCATGCATCAAGGCTGCTAATGTTATAATTATTATATTTTTTAGGACTTTTTCATTTTCACAAGCATCATACTTGGCGGATTTTCCAAGAGTTCATTTCTATGGAAAATATCGTGCAGATGCCTCTACACCTAATAACTATCGCTGCAACTTTGATCCCAATGTTGATGATTCATTTGAAGATGATCCTGTTCGTAATTGGAACTATATTGGTACAAATGAGTTCTCAATCCAAGACACCTTTGTTACTGGAGTCACAACTGATAGTGGAGTGACTGACGATGAAGTAATTGGAGCTGCAGTTTTAGACAGTGGTAATCATCCTTTTGCAAAAATGGTAGACATAGACACTGAATGGCAAGGAAATTCTACTACTATATATGGAATGGTGTTTAGGATAGTATGGAGAAATGGTACAGAAGCTCTGAGAGGGAAGTGGGCTCCAAGTTCAATATCACAGAGCATTTGGCCTAGAAGGAAGTGCTATCAAGGAAGTGAAGATTCCTTTCCTTTAGGAACATTGTCAACTACAACTATCACTAACATTACATGGGGAGATTTGAGGGGATCAGCTGTACTTAAAAAGTTAAAGGAATTAAGCACAAAAGGGAACAAAAAATTACAGTTGTCCATCTCATTGAGTACATATACTAGAAACGATAAAGATTTTGCTAAAACAGCCTTCACACTTGGTTTAATCACTGGGACAATTGGAGTTAGTAGTGACACTGAACCTTTAAACTATGGAGGAGAGAGGCTCTTAAGTCACACTGAAATAAAGTACTCACCTGATGTAAGCAATGTACCATCCGATGATTCATGTTATAATTCTAATGATAGCCGATGGATGAATGATGCTCCATTTAAAATGAATGAAAATTTGCTTTCAATAGACTTGAGCAATTCACTGCCAAGTGACCTGGATGGAAATTTACGATATTTAAATCCTCTTTATGCTGGTATATTGCATCAATCACCTGAGCAGCCGGAGAAGGCATGTATAGAGCTATTAGGGGATGAAATACACTACTGTGGTGATAACCACAGTAGTCCTTATTGCAATAATGACTGGTTGAAATTAACTGGTGGCATAGTGGACATTGAAATAACTGATAATCAAAAGGAAAAGCTACTCTCCTCTTCTTCACTGGTTGTGGCTTTAATGCAAGACAAGAGCTCAGAAACTAATGAAGTCTATCCTAACTGTTATGCATTGCCTTCTTCTAAGCATAACCTAAAGTTGATGCTGAAAGAGACTGACTACTACATGCGACCAAAAGGAGAATATATATTCTTTATTCATCCATCTGTCTCTACATCTGTCAATGTTCCATTTCTTGTTTCACACTTTGGAAAACCAGTAGCTAACTTAGATGTTAAAGTTGTGAGATGTACAGGAAAAACATGTACGGTTCTCCCTACTGATGGTGTAATTCCTTATGAGGGGAAATGGAATGCCAAAACAAATGAAAATGGAGTTGCAGTGTTTACTTTCACTGCAGTAAAGAAAATGAGTTCACTTCGAGAGTATAGTGAGCCTCCTTGTAAAGGTAGTGATGTATTGAAACTTCCCATTGATGGTCAAGTATATGGCTTTAATTTCTGTCCCAGTGAAGGAGAAAAGGACCAACAATGTGCCAGTTTTTCACTTCATTCATTAGTAATTAGAGCCTTTTCTAATCCAGAATATGATCCAGACAAGCTTTACACGTGGGTGGATCACATCCAACCAATATTTTCCCAATACCATCACCTATATCCTGTCATGCACGGTATACTCAATTTGAGCAATTATTACTCTGTCACTTCACCCCAAAATATTGGCCTATTAAACCTATCCATGCACCTTGATATAAATGACGCTAGTTATATGCCTGTTACTAGGGATCTACCAGAACCTCAGCGAAAAATGATACTAAAATGGTTAGAGAATCCAGTAAATCAATCAGAGGAGATAAATGCTCGTATGGACGATACTAGTGAAGTTTCACCTGAGTTACAATGTAATGAACCAAACCACACAGCAGCTGTAAGTATGTTTGAGAATTATGCTAAACCGCCTGTGTGCGAGGCTAAAGCAATTTCTTTCAATATTCAGGACTATTGCAAAAAATATGTTGACAAGTATTATTTTGACACGCTAAAATTACCGCTAAGTTACAATGCAGATGGATTTAAAAATAAAAATTGCCCAAAAAATAAGCGTCCTCTGTATAAATACAAGAAAAATTCTACAGATCCCGAAATACAGAAAAAGTGTAACGATGAAAATTTGAGGGAGCAGTTAAAAATTGGCTTAAAATTGGAGCTGGCAACTATACCACTCTATATGACTTCTCTATACTCTATTGGTGATGGATGCAATACTCAAGTATATAAAATCATTCGGGGGATCCTCATGCAAGAGATGCTGCACTTGGCTCTTGTGGGCAACATTATAAATGCAATGAATGGAGGCCATCCTATTATTGATAGTCCTGATGTTGCACCTAAATATCCAAGTCTAGGACTTCCTGGCTGTGTACATCCATCTCTTGATGTTCATTTAAAGAAAATTTCATTAAGACACATATATGATGTACCATTGGTGATTGAGAAGCCAAAATTATCTTGTGTCACTGAGAACAAGGAACAATTGCTAAACAATACAATAGGAGAATTTTATTCTGAAATAGAGCAGTGCATGCAAAAACTTGAAGAGAATGGAGAAGAAGTTTTTCAATCCAACAATTTTCAAATCTCATGGCCTTGGAAACCCTCTAAAGAACTAGGTACTCTTTTTGAAGTTAATAGTACTCAAACTGCATTAGAAGCAATCAAAGAGATCAAGGAGCAAGGAGAAGGTGCTAGCCCAATAGATCCAACAGATGGTGATGGGAATCAGTTAGGACATTATTATCGATTGATGGAAATTGTCTGCCAAAAGAAACTAATGAAGAATGAGGAAAACAAGCATTATTCATACAGTGGAGCTGACATTCCTTTTGACCCTAAAGGTGTGTGGCCAATGAGAGACAATCCAAGCAAAGAAGGCACAACTGGGAACTGCTACACAGAAGCAAGAGCATTCCACACAACTTATCGCAAGCTATTAAGAGAGTTACATGCAACCTTTGGTGGTGAGCCTGAAAGGATAGCTTCTGCAGTAACAATTATGGAGTCTCTTCTTGTTCATGGCAAGCGTGTCATGAGGGTTCCATTGACTCCTGAGAGTGAGGAAACGTGTGGACCAGTCTGGGATTATAAATGGGAAGAAAAACAAAATTAATTGGAGCAAGTACAAACTCCTGCTGAATGCTAAATCTACTTAGACATTTTTAGGCCTTTTAGTAGTTAATGATGTTAGGTTTTATGCTTTGTTATTATTATAGACTCATTAGTTTTGTTTTTTGGCTAAATTTTGAATGTTCAAATGCTCATAATCATAAATTAACTCAAACTTTCAGCACAGTATAAGGGCAACAGTGTACATCAAAATTAATAATAATTTTTTGTGGTCAAAATCTAACATAAATGGCCATTTATGCATAATGTAAGATAAGGTCCTCTAAGAAGTCTGGTAAGTATAAAAGCTCATTTTCCCAGTATAGCAAGGCTGCAAAAGTCGTGGCAGCCATATTGTTTTGGGAGGAATCCTACTTAGTAATGCTACAGCGTTACTAATAGCCCATGTTTTTTCCAAGAATCGGCTCCAAAATCACCCGAATTTTTATTATATTTTCTGATACATATTGATGTCCTTGTGCTATATAGAAATTTTGAGCTAATTCTGACTTCAAATTTTTGGGTTATGACCACTGTTTTAAATTTTAGACAATAAATGAGACACCTTTCCAGTGCTTCATTCCACTATCACTACTGCAGCTACTTGCATTGAAGCATCATAGTGGGCTCTCATGATATCATGTAATAGCTCTAACAGGAAATGACTCAGCATCTTCCTTTACCACATCAGTGAGGGAAAGACTACTTGATTACCATAATGTATTCAGTGATACTAAGAGAGAACCACAGTCACTCTCAATTGATGAGCTAAAACCAATACTAAACAAGATTCATAGCTTACTGCCACCCATTAAGTCAAATCTTATCTACGACAGTCAGGAAGATGACACAAATACAATATTAGAGACAATTCTTAATAAAGCCCATTCATCCTTACAATCACTGCAGAGCTATGTTGAAGGACATCAGTTATATACTGCACAAATTGGATTCACCTTGAGTGTATTAATGAATAATAATGTACCTACTGACTGGTACTATCCACACCAGCACATCAACAAAGGAAAGACTTTAGTGGAATTCATACAATTAGTGAGACACCTTTATTATTACTAGTGTATAGAGCTGGAATAATTTTTGACAAATCTATTATCATCATTTAAATTTAATTGCCCTTATGAATACTTGCACAATGTGCGCACATACCCTTGAGCAAAGCCCTTAGTGATGAAGTACGTCTGTATGGACTGGCCGTAGGGTCATCATCTAATATTATTAAGCTAAATATCCTAATCTTTATGATGATTGTGTGGCTAGGGGACGGAGCCCCTCAATGTTTTATGTTCTTCTAGTTACATGTATCTTTCTCTCTCAAATAATGCACACCGGACTAAATACACACATATTACATATTGCATCAACTGATAATGCTGACAGAATTAGTAGATCTAGTGACATCTAAGTTACATGTACATGCAACACACATACACACACACATGCATGCAATCTCCTCCATTGTACCATATACCTCTTAGAATCATGTACAATGGTGGCTCAAGGTAAATACAATGTAAGCACCTGGATATTGCTCAAAAAGAACAAAATGAGATTTAGACAAGCAAGCCATAATTGTGAAAGAAGGAAAGAGGTAGGTCATGCATGAGTGTTGATACATATTATAACCATAAAGAGCTATTACGTTCATGCTTTACTTGCTTATGGCTTGCCTTGAAATATTGTTAATACAATCTCTTCCTAAAGAAACAAGCTTTTATTCATGTGTACATTGTAGATCATATTTCATATTTTTATGGCACTATGTCATCTGGACTCTATAATGTTATAGTTTGTGATAAATTGATAGTGTAGTACAGTAAAATAGTTGTGATTAAATTTTCACAGCTAGAGTAGACCACACAATTAGTATACCATTAGCACCATTAACAAAATGTAAGCTTCCCATTGTAAACACAATTACAGTGAGATGG